GCTGCTCATGGTCCCAACTACCTCTGGCTTCGTCGACCCCACCGTTGATCCCGAAGGCTCAGGCGCGGAACAAGACTTCTATCTGCACCTCCACCTGCCACCCGAGCTGGACCTCCCGCTCCCGGCGACGACCCAAATCTATCACCAGCCGCCGAGAAGCTACTTGATCCCCCGCTGGGACCTCGGCCCGGACAGCGGCGCCTTCACAAGGATTGAATTTCCTACTGGGGACAGTCGCAAAGGGATCCAGGAGGATGTAGACACGTTTGAGACCATCCTGGCACAATGCACTGCGTTCCTCGAAAGGGCGCCACCTCCTAAGACCGGGAAGAGCGAAAAGGCCGGGGGACAGGCCAAGGGCGACAAGAGTGTGTCTTCGTCCAAGTCCAAGGGGTCGACGAAGGAAGAGCTCCCTACGTACAATCCGGCGGCCTTCATGCCCGGCGAGGGTTACGCGCGAGGAAGCCACAGCGCTGCTCACCAGGGTCAGATCGTCCTCGTCGATGAAGAAGATGGAAGTGTCATTGGAGAGTTGACCAACGACTTCCATTTTGTCGAGGACGACACGTTGAAGCATGGGTCTAAAGGTTAGCCCCTCCCCGTATCCTTTAGAAATCCATGGCTAACAAGGACCTTGTAGACCCGGTTGAGATCACTTTACCCATCGACGGAGGACAGAGCATTGGCATCGCGCCAATTTCCCCCGAGCTACTCGAAGCAGAGATGCACCCAGCATACAAGAAGTCATTCATTGTATCCAATGCATCGGCAGCCTCCCGCCTGATCATCACAGGCTCAGACATGGTGGCCAAGGCGCTGCAGGGCAGCGCGGACACTTTCGCCAAGAAGACACAGCCAGCCGCAAAGCCCCTGACGTTCAACCCGACGACAAAAGAGCACATTCGGCGCATCAGTGCCTTCACTGGGGGAGCCGCGAGCCTGTCAGCCAAGACGGTCGGCCAAATCGGGCACTTTGCGCAGTCTGTCGGAGCCACACTCGGCGGACACGGAAAGAAGGTAGGTGGCGGTGGCAAGGGGTTTGGGCCAGACGGAAAACCGATACCCGGATACAAGCCAGGCCTGCTCAACAAGAGCTTGATGGCGTTTTCGACGGTCATGGATGGCGTTGAACAAGCTGGCAAGCATCTCTTGGAGTCTACATCGGAAGCGGCGTCGACGGTTGTGACACACAAGTGGGGCGACGAGGCGGGCGATGTTTCTCGGAGCATTGGAGGCGGCGTCAAAAATGTGGGCTTGGTCTATATCGACGTGACAGGTGTGTCGAGGAGGGCTATCATCAAGAGCGTTGCGAAGGGAATGGTTGTGGGACGCACAGCCTCCGGCCAGCAAGTGATTGTTGGGGGGAACGATGGTGTAACGGGAGTTCCTAGTGCACAGGAGACAGTGTCTGTTGAAACCCTGACGATTGCAGAGGGCAAAAAACCGTTGGCGCTGGAAGGCCCCAAGCCAGGCCCTAAGCCCTGAAGCTGGAAGCGTGCGGGGAAAGAGTCGCAGCGCGATGAGAGACGGAGGTAGATGTTCAGATTGACGCTCCAATGAGGGATTGGCGCTGTGTCTTATTTATTAGCAGATATCTCGTTTTTGATAGACTGGGCACTCGGAGTCGGTGGTGAGATGTCGTGGCAGCTAGAAATCCGAGTGACACTTGGCATTTTGATTGGGCAGATTTCATCATGTGACCGCGAAATCCTCTGGAGCTGCGCCCAGCACGAGCCTGGCCAGTCGCGTCTCAAAGACGCTCGGATCGCGTTGCGGGGAGGTGCCAGGTGCTACTCACTTGCGCCAACTTCCATTCCTCCCTCTCCCTTCTTTCCCTGTCGACGTGGAACGACTGAAGTCAGGCCCGCTGGGCGAACCCATGGCATGATGAAAACTTAGGAGTTGAAGCATTGTTGCTTTTGCGTTAATGTATTGCAGCTTTTGTTTTTGCTAAGTATTGCCTTCCAGCTGTTTTTCCAAGCAAGCAAGCTACCTGCAGAGTCTAAGCCCCGCCAAATCTTAGTCGCGACAGACACTCCCATCCCACCCCGCTGTCTCCATGTGCTGCCGATTTGAACTCCTTGGAACCCTAATACTATTCTTCCAAGACCTTAGAGAGCGGCGGTCGCAGGACACCGCACCGCATGTCACACCGCATGTCGAAAAAAAGCGGTAAGGGCTCCCCTCCCCGCGAGGTAACCTGGAATGCTGTCGGCTACTGACAAGCTGCGCGAACCTCCAGCTCCACAACCACGCCAACATGCTCCACGAAATCCTCCTTTCCCTCTCCGGGCACCCATCCCCCCTGCTCCGAGCGACCGGCGCCCCAGGCGCCCATGACATTGCGCTGGGCGACAGCAGCGTCATCTCGCCGTCCGAGCGCGCCCTCCTCGCATCCCTCGCCCGCCTCAGCGACTTGCACGTCAAATTGATCAGTTTCGCCGCCCAGATCGCCGGATCCCACTCGTCCGTCATTTGTCGCGCAGTCGCCGCCGCGATAGACTCGATCCACCTCGCTGCCTTTCAGCGAAAGGTGCTCGAGGTCGAAGACACGATTCTGCGCAAGGACGCGGGGCTGGTCGGCGCGTATAATATCGTGCCTCTAACGGCTGTCGTGGGCGAGTTCGATGGCTGGACGAGGCGCATGGAGTGGCTCTGGGAGCTGGTGCAGTTTATGCTCCGCACGGGACGGGCGTCGAGGGATGATGTGTCCGGGACGCCGTGTACAGGTGCAAAGGTCATTGATCGGCTGAGGAGCGAGCTGCAGACGGGGTATATGGACGTCGAGGAGACTGCGAGGAGTCTGGTGGCTGTTGCTGAAGTCGCCTGGCTCAAGCAGGTGTCGGCGTGGATATTGTACGGGAAACTGCCCAGCTTCGGCGCAGACGACTTTTTTGTCCAGCAGGATGGTGACGTTGCAGAGGTACGAATCGCTGAAAGGACGGTTGGCTTCCCCGTGTTTCTTCTAACATTGAAAAGGAATATGCTTGTATTTACAAGTTACTGCCCTCGTTCGTGACTCCTTCGACGGCAGCTTCCATGTTATTCATCGGAAGGTCTCTGAATCAGATCCGCGTCAAGAGCGCTGAGGATCCTAGCCTTCGGGGGACCGACCACCTATCTACACAGCTCACGCAACTCGCCGCGCTCAAGCACCCACTAGATTCGGCTACCTTTTCCAGGACGATAACCGACATACGACACTATTTGTCAAGGACGACATTGCAGCGGCTCTTACCCCTGAGCAGAGTTCTCGAGACGCTGCAGCTGCTTCGGGACTTTTTTCTTCTCCGCCGCGGCGAATTCGCCATGGCATTAACACAGCAAGCAGACGAAAAGATACGGAGCCGCTGGCGCCGGGCCGAAAACCTCGCATACGAGAAGCGAGAAGGCATCGGAAACGTTGTGGTAAAAGACGGCGAGATAGCTGCTGTACTTGCGAGGACATGGGCTGCCATGGGATCGATGCAGGGCGAGCATGCTGAAGAGGATGAGGGACTCGAGCTGGGCAGAGATCTCTTACGGCTGACGCTGTCCAAGTCAAAGCCGCCCACCCCAATGACTCCCGCTGCCGCAGAAGGTGGCCTTTCATCCATTGCGCCTACACCCTTCCGCAACCTTTTATTTTCCGTTCCAGTCATTCTGACTCTTCAATTACCCTCCCCCTTGGACCTTTTTCTCAGCCTTTCTGACCTTCAAACTTATACTGCGATTAACTCCTATCTGCTTTCTTTGAGGCGAGCCCACATTCGGCTCACCGACCTTTGGAAGATAACATCTCTCCGTCGACATCACCCAGCTTCCCCCAGTCCCCCTTTTGGGAGCACACGCGGCGGAAGGGATAAAGTGCGGCTCCTCCGCCATCGACACGATTCTCGGTCACAGATCCTGCGGAATGCATGGGCGACAGCCAGCGCCGCCATCTTCTTTTTGGGCGAAACCGAGGGCTACCTCCAGACCGAGGTTGTCGCTGGCCTCTCGGAGGGCTTCCACCAATGGCTCACAACTAGTGATGACGACCAAAGACAAGACGACACCTCCAAATCCAAACCAAAACCCCCGCCACCAGATAAGCCCCCTGTCGATGAATCCGCCGACGACGACGACATCTGGCTCTCAACCGCAACCGCCCCACCCGCCACCCAAGAAGCCTCCAACGCAGAATCCGAATCCCAACACCCGCACGACCCCCAAACCCTAGCAACGGCCCACCGCCTCTACCTCCGCACCCTCGTCCACCGGCTCCTCCTCTCCCAGCAGTCCTTCACAGACCCCCTCTACGAGCTCCTCGCGCACCTCGACCGCCTCGTCGCCCTTATCCACCGTCTCCACTCTGTGTGGACGGCCGCGGACCTGGAGGCTGACGTGGGCGTCGTCGATGCCTTTGTCGACCTCGCCAAGGAGGAGAGGGATGTCCAGGGGGAAATTCGTGGGGTAGAGGGGAGAGTGAAGAGGGGGATTGAGGGGTTGATCGCGGAGTTAAGGCGGTTAGAGGCGGGAAATTTTCTTGTGGGATTTGGCGAGGGGGTTGGTGGGGAGGATGATGAGGGGGATGGGGTGAGGGAGGCTGGTCAGTATGTTCCGAGGAGAGTGGGAGGTGTGGATCGGTTGCTGATGAAGCTGGATTTTGGGAGTTGGTTTGGAGGTGTTAGTGTTGGGGAGATGTAGGGCATCACGTATTATGACTGAGGATGTTATGAGGGGGTATGACGTGAGAACGATACGCATTATATGGGTGTTTAGGGTTGGTGTTTGACAAAGATCCCTGGGAGTATTTCCGGCAACAGGATTATATCCACTATGGTCCTCTCTTAAAGCCCCCAGCTGGGCTATGGCATGACCTTCTGTAAGTAGAAACTCAAATCAGATATTCTATTAGTTCTGCACTCTGTCAATTGAAGGTGAAGCCGTGAACCAAGTGTTTATCCCAAACCCAACTGCCCCCCCGACACAGCCAGACATGGATCCCCTTTCCGCCTACCTCCACATCCAACAAGCATGGTATTGTGGCCGAGCGGTCTAAGGCGCTACGTTAAGGAGATATCCTTAATTCTATCTACCAGATTCCGTAGTCCGAAAGGGCGTGGGTTCGAATCCCACCGATATCAATTACTTTTGCCCCCACTCCATACGGAGTATGTTTTGCTTGCCGCAGCTTGGAGTACAATGTCATCTATTCCCCCAAGTTCCGCACGCAGGTTATTCTCCCGGATTGCCATGGCCTTGGCCTTACCGTCCCCTCGTAGCACAAATGGGCGACTGCAAGTAGATGTCGTCGCCCCTTGGTCGTCGACAGTCCGACATATGTAAGCGTCTCCCGCTTGGACATTGGCTTTGAAGCTCTAAGATGGACTACATCCCGGTATCCAAGCCCGACGCACCTGTAATTAGATTGACGTTCTGAAATGGAAGAAACATTTTTCCAAAATAGTAGAGAGGCTTCTTCGATATAACAGAGACGTGTCTTCAAAACGGTAGGGAGGTGAATTCGACATGGTAGAGAAGCCTTTATGAAGCTTCAAAATGTGTTTCTTTTCTAGGAAAACCCTAGCGCATTAAATCCGGCACGCTTAAACGAACTTTCGCACGACGCTCCAAACTCCTCCCCCCTCCCCCCTCCATCAAAACCCGTTACGTCCCCCCTACACAAACTCCAAGATGGACCCCGGCCAAATGATCTCGTCGGGGTAGGCCCGAATCTCTTGGGCATCGGTGTTTGGTGAAGCTAAAAAGTATGTCAACTGAGTCCTCAATACATTGGTCGGACACGTACAGCTGGTATCTTCTCCCGCTTGAGTTCGTCTGGCCTGGTTCTGCTTCTGGCCGATGACAGTCTGACAAGGTTAGTGCGATGTTTCCTCTTGGACAGTGGATGATGGGTTACCAACCCAGTATATCTCCTCGATTTTGCCAGGCGCCCAGAAACGAGGATTGTGGGTTCGAAGGACCTCGATCTGTTACATGGCGTGTCAACAAGCTCACACACCCACCGGTGTTCAGAAGGGGGGGGGGGCTCACGCATGCCTGGATCTTGGCCAGATGCTTCGCCTCCACATCCCGCATGCTGGCGCTGCCAGGGTTGAAAATGCACATGACCATGCGCAAGTTGTCGAACGAGTTCGCCTCGGTGAGGATGCAAAGCAGCTCGGCGACGATGCCGTTCCACACCCAGCCGCTGCCGAGTACGCCTTGGCCCAGCGGGGCGCGGATCTCGATGTTGCGTGCGCTCTGGAGTGTGCGTCGGCCGATGAACTCGGAGACACGCATGGGCCGTCGGGCGCCTGGGAGCCAGGGAGGCAGGCGGTCAATCACGAGGCGACGTGACCGCAGAATTGGCAAGCACTCATATGTCACCTGGCGGCAGAGGAGGAGGATCGTGGGCGTTTGGAGAGCGCCATTGTATGTGGGGAACTCAGCATCCTTGCCGGCGGTCACGGCGTCGGCATCGGTGTCGGTGTCAGCGCGGTTGCGTTTGGCCGCGTAGTGCGAGTCAATCCGCCGGTTGTAAGGTGCATAGAGCTGGGTCGAGGTCGGCCAGTGCACGGCGAAATCGTAGACCATGTTGCGGATCTCTCCAGGGAGATTGAGAAAGGACAATGGGACGTGGTGGTGGTCGTTGCTGGCCATGACTGGCAATGTGGCCGCGGTGCTGGGATCCATGGTCATGTCCGCCATGGTGGTGTTGCATGCTGTGGTGTGATGACTGCTGGAAAGAGCAGAAAGGGGAGTGCAAGGGGCATTTGAGGGGAATAAGTAGTTGTAGGCAAGGCGGCGGCGCTTACCGGGCCTCGCCGGATGAACGTCATGAGAACCGGGGATAAGTGGGGCCGTATAATTAAGGTTTTCGGAAGCGGGTACCGAAAGTGGGGCCGTTTGGCAAACTTCCCCGGAGATGGGGCTTGGCGACGGTGAGATGGGATGAAAAGTTGCATCCGGATCGGGCGCACAGTTCCCGTGACTCCCGCAGTTCAGGCTCTCGGGCTGCCGAGTGGCGGCTTGTGTATGATCCATGGCAGTCGGCGGACTCATGCTAGCTGGGAAATAAACCAAAGACCCAGCCTCTTGGGCCCCTCGGTCGCTCTAGTCCCAGTCCAGTGTCCGAGTCTCACTTTAGGCGTATTTTTAGGCTCTGCGGAGCAGCGAATGAAGGACAGCGGGAAGGGCTTGCGGGCTTGCGGATTGTGTGTCGACCCGTTCGATTCAGTTCGATCGGCACCTTCTCACGCAGGGCGATCGTGTGATGGCAGCTGGGTCTCGGCATCAATCAATTCATGCGCTTTGTCGGATCAGCTCGAGCACCCGCACAGAAAAAGCACAGCGAGGGCACACGCAGCGAGGGCACCTAGGCACGGGAGAGTTTGGAAATCGAGGAAGCGATGACCAGACGGCTAGAACTGAGGGAATGAGAGAATGAGAGAACTTGAACTTGGGCCGGGCAGCACTCGCGGTGGCTTTGTGGCCTTGTTGGACATGGCTGCTCGGGGCGCACAAGAAAGCCTGCTCTCCATGCACGAGTCCGTTTTGTGTATTGTGCACACACGACCTTCTCGAGGCCCAGACAGGCTCAACAGCCAACAGCAGGACTTGCCGACAGAGTATTGATGTTTTGACACTTTGACAGTACCCAAGCCATGATTTCTGCCCATGGGCTTGACAGCTTGACAGCTCGACGAGACAGCCGACCCGTTGCGCCTGGGCCACCTCACCTCTCCTGCCTTGCTGTGAGATCGTGGATCATGAAGCGTCCAGGTTAGCGACTGAGTTGAGCCAGGTCAGAGGTTTTCCTCGAGCCTAGAACCATTCCCCCGTGCTTTCGGCCCTGATGGTGCCCGATGACGAGCAAGCCTACTGCGCACCTCGAATCCGTACCTCGGACGAGGAGAAGAAGAGGAGGGGGAGGGGCGTGTCATGCGAGTCTGCGCCAGCCCCGCACCGTCCTACCCGGGGAGTGCGCGCCAAAAGCTCGCTCCTCGCGCTCGTGACAGGCTTCCAGATTCAGAATTGGCGCCCAGATTCCATCGCGAAGGGCCAAACCTGGAGTCTTGACCTGCTTGTCCCCTGTGTCGCTATGTCGCCGTGTCAAGGAGTGGATTAGCTCAGTTTGTCGGCTGGCAATGCGGTTTGGGCTGGGCTTTGGGTCGCTGTGCCCTCAGTGCAGGCGTAGCGGCGTCACTGTGTCAGTTGAATCGCCCTCTGGCGTTGGCCAGTCAAGTGCGGCCTTGCTGGTAGAGTGGAGTTGACACTCCGGACATCCCCTGGTGCCCTCGCTTGATTGGCCCAGCCCTAAGAACGCACACGAACACACCACCCCAAGCATGAGCCAAATGGCCCTGACTAGGAATGGCGCACTGTGTGTGTGGTGCCCCACTCAAGCCACCCGCCGGTGCAGCCTGCCTGTGTGGTCTGTGGCGCCCCCCGCCCGGTTGACGGTGCTGCGTTCTGCGCCAGGCCCAGTCCTGCCAGTTCTGCCAGTCCGCTGAGGAGGGGGGGCACTCAGGTTTTTACACCCTCCCCCCATACCTCTCTCCCTCTCCATCTCCAGCGTGCTCGTCGGCAATCCCACGCCCACACCATCGCTCGGTACACGCCCGCCCACGATTTGTGAAGGCAACGAGCGAGGGTCTCGACCCCAGCATCGTAAACTCTGGTAGCTTTTCCTTGTCCGCTCGTTTGCATCCTTGTCTGCTGCTTCTTTCTCTTCTCTCTCACCATGTCCACGGCGAATGCTCACCCAGGCCTGTCATTCGGCGTCGGCGCCCTGACTGGGAGACGCGGCAACGGGTACCCACCACCACACCTCCCGCCCAGCAACAAACCTTCGCCGGCGTCGCTGTCGCACGCGTCTCCATACCAGACCCATCAACCTCAAGCCTACACGCCGCAGCAGCCGCCCCCGAGCCAGTATCCCCATCATCTCTTCACCACGCCCACCCCGCCCCAGGTCTCGAGCGTCGCCAGCCAAAATGCCGCACAGCACGTCGCCCAGCACGCTGCTCAGCATGCCGCGCAGCAGCATGCCGCCCGCCCGCCTCCGCCCCAAGGCCCTCCGACCCTGCCGGGCCCGCGCCAGCGAGCTCCCGCTCCGAGGCAGATGCAGCAGCAGCAACAGCAGCAGCAGCATCCCTACCTCCAGCAGTCGTTGAACCCCCAGCCCATGAACCCGCAGCAGCTGAGCCAGCAGTCGCTAAACCAGCCCTTGAGCCAACCCTTGAGCCAGCCGTCCCAGCCGAGTCTGAACCAGCAGCCCATGAATCCCCAGCAGCTTAGCCAGCAGTCGCTAAACCAGCCCTTGAGCCAGCCTTTAAGCCAGCTTCAGCAACTGCAGCCCATGTCCCAGCCGCCCATGTCCCAGTCCCTTGCCCAGCAGCCCCTCGCCCAGCAATCCATCAGCCAGTCCATCAGCCGGTCCGCCCCGCAGAACGACAACTCTATACTTTCCCAGCAGCCCGCGTCCCATCCGCCGCCCCAGCCGACCCTCCCCCCAGCCCAACCGCAGCTGCCCCAGGTGCAGCAAGTTCAGAAGGCACAGCAGATTCAACAGATCCAACAGCAGCCCACGCCTCCCCAACCTGAGCCCGTAGAACCGGCTCAGGATAGAGATCATGATGATGACATGGACTTGGGCAGCCAGGACGAGTCTGGGGAAGGGGATTCGTCATTGGAGCCCAAACTTCTCGAAGGCACGCCCTTCGTACCGCGGGAGCCCATGGGGGGCATGATGTCGGCCCCTCCTGAAGGGGGGAGCTTTCCGACTTTGGAGGCTGTTCATAAGCATGTGTTAAGCTACTGCACTTCGGTCGGCTATGCCATCGTCATTGGGCGGTCCAAGAAGACGGTCCCAGGACTTAAAAAGGTGCTTTTTGTATGTGATCGTGCCGGCAAGCCCCCGAAGCGGGTGAGCCCGGAGATGCGCAAGCGGAAAACCACGTCCCGAAAGTGCGATTGCCAATTCGGCTTCTTTGCCATTGAGCAGAGGACGCAGTGGACGGTACGCTACCGCCCAGATCCGGGCCACCTGCAGCATAACCACGGGCCTAGCGAGAGCCCTCTTTTACACCCGGCTGCGAGGAAGCTGGACAGCAAAATGGTGGCTGCAGTCAAAACCTTG